TGATTCTGGTAACACTTTATAATAAGGTCCAATGCATTAACATGAATTAGTTATCAAGTTAACAATGAACAACAATATTTTACAACAACAATTTAACCAATGTTAATTTATACAACCTGAAATGTATAGAATACAGTACCATTCAAAAGTTTGCGGTCAGTAAGATTTTTTAATATATATATTTTTAATATATATTTTAATATTTTTAATTAAGTATATTATGCTCAACAAGGCTGTATTTATTTAATCAAAGATACAGTAATAACAGTGTTGTAAAATATTATTACAGATTACAATAAAAAAAATGCAATTTATTTATTTCTTCAGAAATCATTCTAATATGTAGATTTACTGCTAAAGAAACATGTATTATTATAAATTCTGAAAACAGTTGTGCTGCTTCATATTTTTGTGGAAACCCTGATACTTTCTTTTTTCTTCAGGATTCTTTGATGAACAGAAAGTTCAAAAGAACAGCATTCTTTGAAATCTTTTGTAATATTCTGTAACATCAGAAATGTCTTTACTGTCACTTTTAATCATTTAAAGCATACTTGCTGAATAAAAGTATTAATTTCTTTCAAAAAATCTTACTGACTCCACATTTTTGAATGGTTATGTGTGTAGAAATCAACAAGAACCAAAATGAATAAATGCTGTGAAAGTATTGTTCATTTTTATTTGATTGCATTAAACATCGTTAACATATAGGACCTTAATGTACAGTGTTACATCAGATGTCCACGGCATGTCCCCCTTTAGATATCTAACTAAAGGTGTGTGTGAAAGACAGATGCAAGGTAGGAGGTGAAGAGATCATGAGAAACAAAAGACACAGGCATGATATTTTCCACTATCTACCAAAGCAGCTTGAGACTCGCAGAGCAAAGACAGCAGAACCTTTAAACACACATGTGAATGTTTGCACAAGAGCTTCAATTGACCCCGTCAATGCAGAACGGGTCGTACTATCAGAAAGGAGCCATCGGCGATGCACGCACGTGCACACAGCTGAGATCCGATACGCGGACGACCAGCTGTGCTCTGACAGGATGCAGAGCCGATCCAGATGTGCGGGAAACGTTGGAAATGACAACAGTGCTTTTCACAGAGCACTTGTTTTATTTTCCTCTGGATCCTCCTTGCGGTCACCCAGGATGGGCTCGGATAACTATCCGCTTCCAGCACTTGTCCAAATATGGGTCCTGCCCAACTAATGGAAACACAAATGTGCCTCCAGATCAGATACATGTGTGAGCATGTGTGTGTGATCGCGCACATCTGTCTAACAGTGCAGGCGTACTGTGCTTTGCTCCCAAAATGCCAATAATCCCAATGATAATAATCTGCATGTTTGTGTTCATGTGAACATGTGTGTTTGCTTAAGTGTTAATGATGGACAGTGAATATGACCCCAAGCTTCCAGACCGTCCTGTGACCCCCACTGCCCCGGCGTCGTTGGCCCAGCGTGCCGTCCATTGACTGGGGTTCGACTGGGAGAGGAGCCCTGGCAGGGCCACAGGATCCAACCCCCACTCATCTGAGGCCAAGGACAATGTTTGAACATCTGCCCATGGCTCTCAGGAGCGAGGGGAGGGCTTGTTATTCCCTGCAAAGGATCTCAGTTGGGCAGTGAGGGCTGGACTGGGCTAGTTTACTCTCGAATGAACTGTACGCATGTAAACTCTGTCCGATCGCGAGCGCCGGTGCGTCTGTCATCCGGACAAACGACGAGCCACAGTTGCTGACTGAGTGAATTTTGAGTGCATGTTAAAAATGAGCAATATGTTTAAGCATATGGATGTGTGAAGACTGTGCACAAAATCATCCAATCAGATTCCTCCATCTGGTGTGATTGTGAGTTTGTCATGATTGTTCTTGCATGAGTTATGTGTGTCTCCAAGGTCCAAAATTGACACTCACCAACTGACATGATGTTCTGGAACTGCAGTGTTATTGTTTAAACTGTAAGAATGATAGCCTGACCATCGCAAACATAAGAGTAGTCAATAAATAAATAAGTAAATAAATAAAAAAATGCACAACATTCAGACAATCTACTCACAGAATATCATGACTCATCTTTTTTTTTTTCCTCAGTGGAAAATGTCATATATATAATATTCCATGCCACGAAAGGAACAAAATCATGTTATTGTTTGCGCTGAGAAATAAAGACTGTGATTCTATAATATCAAATAAAACAGGTAAACAACTGCAACAAGGACATTATAAAATGTATATACTATAATATAATATAATATAATTTTATAAAAAATGTTAATGATAAATGTTTCATGGCACATGAGAAATATTTACTGCTTGTAAATATTGTCAATTCATTCACAAATGCCATTGGTGGCAAAAAAAAAAGATACTTTAAATAGGACTGTAAAATAAAATGCACCATTTTACATAAACATTACACAGGAATTACCAGTTCTTCAATTTACCATGTTCATACACTTCAGGTAAGTACCTTGTGTTACCACTCATTTGCCTGTAGGTACAAGATATTTGCCATGTATGTACCAGGGAAGTACACGTACTGTAAGATAAAGTGCTACCACTATGACTATATAACTACAATAGTTTGTTAATAAATTTGGGGTTACTTCAGGATAAATAGGACATTTTTTCCTAGTCATCTCAACGACAAAAAGTGAAGGTAAGACATTTACCTGAATTCACCCCTATAAATGCTTTATTACTGTATACTTATTATAAAATGTCACAAAAAATAACACTCTCTATCTCTATGAACATGTGTGTTTATTATAAGTGTGTAAGTATGTGTTAGGGAATGTTTGTACATGTGTGTATGTTTGTAGATCTTACCTTCTTTTTGTCCCTCATGGAGCCTTTCCCTCTCACCATGATCTTACATCCTGTCTCTGCCTCCAGCTGTTTGGCTGTGAGCCCCCGCGGGCCCAAGATCCGGCCCACAAAATTAAACTGCAACACACAAACACACACATCTCACTCACTGCATCTGCGTCTGGATGGAGCAGTGTAATACATACACTTTAGCATTTGACTAGTCACAGTTTGCATCAACAATACTATAAAATGTACATTTCATGTTACTTTCGAATTTCTTCACTATAGTGTAAAGTATCAGGTTGTTATGTAGCATTATTATGCAGGGGGCATTACACATAATATTCTTATGTTTGAAGTTATTAATAATGTAATTCCTAATTCCTAACACACGCACGCACGCACACACACACACACACACACACACACACACACACTCCTACACACTCCTACATTGGCTCCTGGATGCTTATCACACTCAGTACAAGAATTATAATGACCATTTTTAAGCCCTTCTTAGTCTTGCACCACAATATTTAGTTGATCTGAATCATGCTCATTCTCTGCTTTCTACTCTTAGGCCTTCTGGAGACTTCTGGAGTTTATTAACACTCTCTGAAAAAGGTACAAAAGCTGTCATTGGGGCTGTAACAAAACTTACTAAAATGTACCATTTAGGTACTAATATGTATACTTTAGGTAGTAATATATACTTTTAAGGTACTAATATGCTCCTTTTTTTTCCGGAGAGTGAATGTTCCTTCATTGGATGGATGGTCTTTCAGTGTCTTGACCCCTACAGTACATACTGGAAATCTCTCCCCCAGCATCTCAGTGAAACTGTATCTCAACCACCTTCAGAACGCAATTGAAAACGCATCTGTTTACTCTGGGTTATTGAAATGTTTATGCATTGTCCTTGGGTTCGTGAAAAGTGATATATATATATATATATATATATATATATAATGATGTTTTATAATAATATAATAGTTTTTTATATAGAATATATTTTAAATTACAATGTTTTTATGTTAGATTATTACAGACTACTATTATGATTGATTTTCATTTCAAGTAGATTTTCATGTATAGTTTTGTATTTTCTGGGAGTGTTAAATTCAAAGTTTGCCAAGCTTAATTTAGTGCTTCATCAAAAATCACTTCATTATTGCACATTAATCATCTCTCACTTCTGAGACCGTAAATTCTGATATGGCTGCAGGCCAATACTGTGTCTGCACTGAATATATGTACATAAAACGCAATGTTTTGCGTTAATTTCTAACCCTGGCTAAGTTCAAAAGTGATCACGGACATGCGAGTTAGGTGATGGAATTCAGCAGAATTGTGTGAATGAAATTCCCTGGGAGGTACTTTATTTGAGCAGGCTGCCTAAGTGTTATCGTGGAGCTCATCAGCCCGGGACTCAGACAATGTGCAGAGAGCAGCAGCCGATAGCCTCCTATATGCCCGCGCCTCCTCTAGGCCTTCACTGATAAGATAAGAGCCACCAATTGTTCACCTAATCGATCAGGTATCAGCACTGACCCGACGGCTGTCGGTCAAAGGCTCTGGCCCGGTCTGTAGTGCTAGAGAACTGACATGCAAATGTGAGTGAGTTTGTGTTACAGTTACAATAACATTGTGTTACAGAGACCGTAAATTCTGATATGGCTACAGGCCAATACTGTGTCTGCACTGAATATATGTACATAAAATGCAATGTTTTGTGTTCATTTCTAACCCTGGCTAAGTTCAAAAGTGATCACGGACATGCGAGTTAGGTGATGGAATTCAGCAGAATTGTGTGAATGAAATTCCCTGGGAGGTACTTTATTTGAGCAGGCTGCCTAAGTGTTATCGTGGAGCTCATCAGCCCGGGACTCAGACAATGTGCAGAGAGCAGCAGCCGATAGCCTCCTATATGCCTGCGCCTCCTCTAGGCCTTCACTGATAAGATAAGAGCCACCAATTGTTCACCTAATCGATCAGGTATCAGCACTGACCCGACGGCTGTCGGTCAAAGGCTCTGGCCCGGTCTGTAGTGCTAGAGAACTGACATGCAAATGTGAGTGAGTTTGTGTTACAGTTACAATAACATTGTGTTACAGTTACAATATCAGACCAACTCTGAATACACTATTATTAAAAAGTTTGGGGTCGGTTAGATTTTTTTAATATTTTTGAAATAAGTGTCACCAAGGCTGCATTTCTTTTTAAAATAAATGTAAATAAATAAAATAAATAAATGTCAAAAATACAGTAACAAGCAGTAATAATGTTAAATAACTGTTTTCAATTTGAATATATTTTCAAATGTAATTTATTCATGTGATGCAAAGCTGAATTTTCAGCATCATTACTCCAGTCGTATCACGTGACCCATCAGAAATCATTCTATGATTTGCTGCTCAAGAAAAAATTCTGATTATTATCAATGTTTAAAACAGTTGTACTGCTTAATAAGTTTGTGAAAACTGCACATTTCCCCCCCCCAGGATTCTTTGATAAATAGAAAGTTCAGAAGAACAGCATTTTTTTAAAACAGAAATATTCTGTAACACTATAAATGTCTTTATGTCACTTTTGATAGATTTAATGCTTAATTGCTGAATAAAAGTATTAATTTCTTTTAAAAAATACTGAGTGACTTTTCAAAGTAATGCATTACATATGTCAGTACATTAAGCACATTAAATAATATTAACTCTGATAATAGGGTTTAAATAAAAAAAAAAGTAACAATATTTGACCTGTTACTTCAGATTATGTAACATGCAACTCAATAACCCCAGAACACAACCCACAATTATTTCTGCATACTTCATCATCTTGTGCATTGTATGAAACTGCACAGTCATGTGATCACTATTTTTTATCTTTATTTATTTATTCTATAGATTTTAGGAAATTTGCATGTTGCATCTCTTTCTCTCCTTTAGGGAACTCCATTCTAATACAGTCAGTGTGACGTGCAGCAGCGGTTTGTTTTGGAGGCATGCAGCCTTGCGTTCTTAAAAATCCCATTTTACACTACAGGCCTCCTGCTCTAATCAATAAGCCTTCGGGGCCCGCTTTATCAATGTGTTTGGTATTCTGATGTTACGCTCTTTTCACATGACTGACTCCATGCATAATCGACTACTGGTAAAACATCGTCACTGAGTATGTTTGTGCAGTTTTTATTTTTTTATTCTGGCACCCTTCATCCCTGTCCAAGAGCCTTGCAGATATGAATGAAAAAAAAAAGCAATTAAATTTTACTTGGAGGCACAAAGCACAAGGGCGTGCATTACATTTGTATGCGTGTGTGTTCACCCTTCAAATAAAAGTTGTGTGTGTTTATTTCTGCATGTACATAAAAAAGACTGTAACTCCATCTTTTTTTAATTAATAAACCTATTAAAATATGCATATGGCACTTTTTACATGCGAATAAATCATTTTTATATTAAAGTGTCTAATGTCTAAGAACACACAGTCAAGATTAAAAGCTGTCATTTCCACTGTACATTCATGTTTGCATATATGAGTGACATGCATCCATACAGTTCTGACGCTCCTATATGCAGCGGCTTCCTACTTTCCACTACCTTGAAAAGTAAAACTTCTTCAAATATCATATATTCTAGTGTCATGAAATAAAGATCTGATCTTGATCAATCTTCTATGTGGTTTTGACCATGTGTGATGGAATTTGTATGGAATTTGGTATATAATGGTAATGTCATTTTGGAAAAAAGTGGGACAACTTTCCTGCTTTAACACTTATAAAATAAAATGTATTCATGATATGTAACTTTGCTTTTACTTCCTATTTCAGTTTGAGATGCGAAGAAATTACCATTGCCAGTCACAGAAGAGGCAATGGAAGCTGAGCCTCCTGTAAAATGAACATAATTAAAATTATCATGAATAATCACTTTACTTATTAATGTGCATGCAATGCAATTAATATATAAAATATATATATTTTTTTCTTTCATGCACAGTCAAACCCAGGTTTAAGTCACTGCACAAGTGCCAGAGAAAGTTAACAAGATCCTCTGATTAGTAAAATAACCATTTAGAATTGCTATTCAAATGATGCAATATAATTTATTTCCATCCAAAATGCTTGCACAACATGGAGAATAAATTAAATTTGCACAATATTCTCAAAAAAAAAAAAATATATATATATAATTATCAGAAGTAAACCAGTATCAGTATCACTAGTGTGTTATTAGGCCTGTTTGTGGTTAATGCAACAGGTAAAGAGAGACTTTAGTTAAAATATCAGTTTTAAAACACTGAATTTCAGGGCCACATGTAAATATGCCATAACAAGGATGTATTACAAGATGATACACTCCTTGCAGGTTACTTGATATTTATATACATATGAGCCTGCCTGGAAAACACCCTTAGAGACCGGAAATAACAAGCCCTTTCAGAAACCAAGCCAGCGCAAAGGTCATGTATGTTCAGAGCCGCTGTCGCTACGTGATGGAAAACTGCTCGGTATACCAAATCAAAGTCTTTTCTTCAGGCCTGCACAGGCGAATTTCCAAGGTGCCCTTGAGAATGAGTAATCAGTGCAAGGGACTCCAGAAGGAACGGCTTCACTCCGAAAGCAGCAGGCGCAAATTATACATCCGCGGTCTCCCTGCTGTATTCACACATCTGCCGGGATTACACACACAGCTCTCCGAAGCGGCTCACAGACGGTCGGATGACCTCCGCTCTCCGTCTGGATTATGTGACGCTGGGGCCTGGTGAGAGCACTTGAAAACAGACACATACGGACGGACCTGAATAAACTCGCTTTTACTCAGCTGTTGGGTTTCAGAGATGCTGGCGAGTATCCCCTGATGGGAAAAAATCTGCTGCAATGTCCTTCACATATAGTGATTTGAGCTTGGACTGCATATGAATCTATAAAATCTCATAAAACTTAGCCAACATCTCTAATCTTTTAAACTTTTAATGATGAATCCAATGGGTTCATTAGTGGATACCCATCAAAGTCAATATATCATCTAATTCTGAAGCTATTCAGAAAGATGACATTAAACAGTATCCGCATCACATTTAATTGTTGACACAATGACATATATTGAAATGTAATAGTATCCACCCACTTTTTCACT